TGTGACCTTGAAATTGACCTTTGACCTACTTTTCACCATGAACTGAACTTTGCAAATTTTGCTTCCCTTTTATCTCCAAAACTGGCAGAGATAGGTCCATAGTTACTATTGAAGTTGGATAGGAAGTCATATACTGGCAATTTACTGTGACCTTGAAATTGACCTTTGACCTACCTTACAATGAACTTAACTTTGATTGCACCATTTTTAGTTATATATATTTTTTGCATATTTTGAAAATTCTTGTTGATTGCATTTTTACAGCTTGTCAAGCACAAGACTGGTGGCTGCACCCCTTATTTTGTGTATGTGGGGGTCTATACGAATGCGCTTGCTCCAGCTGGTGGTACAATATTCGGAGGCGGTATCGCCTCTCTGATCCTCTAGTTTCTGAAGTTTTTAAAACCCTTTACTTCATAAAGGTTATGTCTTAAAAGTTTTTATCAAGATTATGGGTAATTTCAAACTTGGTAAGTTATATTTTAAGCAAGCAGTAAAGATATGTAAACTGAAGAACTTTCAACCATGTGGGTTGAATCTGCATACTTAGCTCAACCTTGAGTGATATATATATATTTGCAAAGACTCAACACATGTCATTGCAGTGGTCTCATTACTCCGAGTGGAGTAACCTCAGTACCAGCCGGAATGGAGACACCCGACATGATAGAGCTGAGGAAGAAGAGGATAGAAGACGCCATGGACCAGGGCGGCGACACTCCAGCTCTGTACCAAGTGTTACCAGAGAAGAAAGCGGCCGTGGGAGGGGCCATGATGGGATCTGCACACATATATGATATCACTGGGGTAAGGATATTATCATGTATTTAGTATTAAAAAAAAATTTTAAGTGTTGTGTTTTCATATGAAAGATGATGTTTTGTTGTTTTTGAACTCATAAGTCTCTGAATGCATTGAATTATTCAGATTTCAGATTAATGTGCTGTTTGTGCTTGGATTTAGAATTGGTTACCTGTTGGTCTTAGTTACAAAATCTTAATCTCTTTACCATCTGTTTTATCATAATTTTTTTTTCATTTAAGCTAATGAAAAAGAATGTTAAATCACATTTTAAAAAGGAACAAAAATGAAATGTCAAACAACTTTAAAAGGAACAAAATTGACATGTTATACAACTTTAAAAAGGAACACAATTAATATGTCAAACAACTCCAGTCAATGCCATTTCTTCCAACGTCAGGTTACAGGCAAGAAACCAGGAGAGAAGGTAGCAGAGGGCGTGGAGATAGCACTGAATCCAGAGGAATTGGACTTGGACACTGCTGCCATGCAGGTGAAATATGAACAGACATTAAAAGAACAGCAGTCTCAGCTGGAGAAAGAAGATCTCAGTGACATGGTAGCTGAACATGCTGCTAAACAAAAGGTAATGGCATGGGTGTTGGTTTACGCAGCTGAGCGGGAATGTAAATTAAAAGGTCCTGGAATAATTTTTCCTCAATGTATCCAGTGGAACACGTGAGCTCTAGTTGGATGGAAAATTTACAAATCAGTTATGCATCTTTCAGACGAGAAATTGAAACCAGAAGATAACAACTGCATTCATATTGGCTGATTATGATTTATTTTTGATTTGAAGTTGAATATTACCTAGACAATACACATTGATGGTCAGAGGAGGAGAACTCTTTTTCCTCAGTATCATATTGCTAGTTTAGTTTTTTGATTCAGTCTTTAGATGTTAAATATCTTTCCCCATTATATTTCAGAAGCGAAAGAAGCAACAAGATGGTGGAAAAGCTGCCAAGAAATATAAGGAGTTCAAGTTTTAGGGGTTGTCATTTTCCCCAAGCATTATTCCAAAAAATATAGACTGTGGATGTGTGCAAAGGGAAAGTTATGGGACTACTTGATTTAGAAGAAGGGTCATGACATTTTGTTGCATTTTATATTTTAAGCTACAATTAGAAGATAGACAAAATGTTAAATTTCCAAGTGTATTGGAGTTGATCTGTATATTATATATAACATACGTGATCTGTAAATGTTCAGTTTTAAAGGTTCTGTGTAGAATGATACAACAGACTACAGTACAATATTTGAAAAGATAAAAATAAATGTTTTGGATATACCCAGTGTTGTTACACAAAAGCTGGACAAATACCTCCATACTCGATAGTGACCTTTTGAAACCAAAATTGTTGGCAAAATATGTGCCAGTTATGTTAATTCCTAAAAATATCAACAACATTGTTCAATAATTCACCTGTGATTCAGGAGTCTTAAATTCTTTTCCCTACTTAAAATCGGCATAACATTTGCAATCACAATTTTCACTTAAACTTAATTATTTAGAAATAGATAAAGATAATTCATTTCTTGTCGTGTCTAATTGACTATATCTTGCAAATATTAAATTTACACACACATTCAATAAAAAAACTGACAATAAGACAGAAACATTAAGAACTGAGATAGCATTTTTGCTCATATTAAAACATTGTTATTTTAGATTTTGGATGTTAAGATCTAGATTCATAATACGTTTATTTAACACATTGCATAACATGAAATTTGGACTAGTATTCATTGACCGTTATCAAAAAGTATGTGAGTTTAAACATTGTTGGAATTTCCTTCTCATTGCTGCTGAAGGTAGGTCTCAAGGAGCCTCTTAAGAGAATCCCCAATGATGCGGTCCGACCTGCCATTCGGACGCGGTGTGGTCACTTGCCCCGCCAAGACCTCGTTTTCATTTCTATTCACGTTGCTGTCGTTCTCATCCTCCTCGACCTCGTTTTCACTGATACCGGTGATATCATTACCATCCGCGCTTTCCCCATCAGTGACAGCAGCTGGAGTTTCCGGGGAAGGCGTAGCAGCTTCAGGACTATCGGGAGGAGCGACAGAGGGGGGCTGCACCGATTCCTCTACTGAATCCACCTCTTTGGGGGCCAGATCGCTCAGACAGAGCGTGACATTATCCTTCAGGGTTTGGACTGAAAGGAAATCAGAAGTTCTTTTATTCAAGTTAAATAAAGTTTACAAAATGTGGCTTAGTAATATGGACCGATTCCATATTATCATAGTGACACGGACAAATAAAATAGTGGAATTTCGGTTGTGGCAAAAATAACGGATAAAACCTATAATCTGAATACATAAAAATCCTACGTTAAGAACTTCAAAATGAAGTTTTCGTTCTCAAATTACTGAAATAACACATCATGAAAGTTACTTTTTAAAACAGATAAAAGACAGTATAGTACTTTTCCCGATTGTAAGCAAAATGGATTTTAGTAAACTGTACAGTTATTTGATTTTTAAGACGTTTATTTATTGATTTTGTATCACCTTCATTCATCAACTGCCTCTGAAAATCCCTGGATGAGATGCTGTCGTCATCTGTCTTCTCCAACAAGATCTGCAAGGTTTTCAGTTGGTCAAGGATGAACCTCTGGGAATGAAAATGTACAGGTTGTATTAATGTAAAAATAATTAAATACAGGCTTTTACGAAGTTTCAAGAGGGAAGGTTTCAAGATGGACATGTACAGTATGATTGAGATTTACGGATAAAATTTATTCATTGCTATGCGATTTTTCTTTTCAAGAAAAAGGTTTTACTGGAATAAAGTTGTAACCCATAATGATTACATCTAATATGTGTAAGAGTTCACCGAAACGGATTTTTTTATACTAACCTCCACTAAACCTGCACTTTCCTTTTTGGCCAACAACTCGGCGACCTCTTTGTGGTTGTTATCCCGAGCAACGTCGGAAGGACTTTTCCTATCTTCGTCAAAGACTTGAAAGTTGGCATTGGCCTTCAAGAGTTCCTTTACAATAGGCACATTTCCTCTCATGCATGCGAGATGAAGGGGTGTTAGCTTGTAAGCATCACGGGCATCCACATCCGCTCCAAGTTCGATGAGCTTTTGGACCGCTGTTAGCTGCTCTTCCATTATTGCGCAGTGTAAGGGTGACAGGTCCTTCTGGGCGTCTTCCCATATCGTCGAGTGTTCCTCATCAATTTTGGTCTTGATATCTTGAGGTGGGTCTTGGCCCCAACCGGACACCAGTACACGCCCATAGTCGGCCACATCAAGGGAACCTCCCTGTGTCTTTAGGAGGAAGATTGACTGTAGTCGCCTTTTTACGAGAACGTAGCGCCATACGGGTTTGTTTTTACCTTTATCTCGGACAAGATGAACTCTGTCACCTTCATATAATAGGGTGCATGTCTCAAGCAAACCCGGATCTATCTGAAAGAGCTTCTCCAAGATGTCGATTTTCCCATTACCTGCTGCAGAATGGAAACAGTTTTTGCCCTTGCTGTTTACACCTTTGGGGTCTGCTCCCCATTCAGAAATCATGTTATCTAGCAAGCTGATGTGACCCCTAGAAGCCGCACAGCACAAAGCATTTGGGGTGACCTGAGCTCCATTTCCTGCAAGAGCTCTAACGACACCACCGAAGTTGTGGAGAGACGCCATCTCTAGACTTGTATAGCAATCTTTTGCGGCTTTGTTGAGATCACAGTTGTTCCTTGTCACGAGGTACTTCACCACATCTTCGTAGCCCAATCGCGAAGCTCTTCTTAGAGCAGTTTCACCTAATGCAGTCACGGCATTTATGTCAGCGCCGAGTTTTAGCAGAAGAACAACACCTTCTAAAAACCCAATCCCCGCAGCCATGTGCAGAGGTGTAAGTTGCAAGTCTCTAGCATCATCAATTGACGTCCTGTCCTGGCTGCAGATTTCTTCTATCTTATGAATTTCTCTCGACCGAACCATTTTATGTATAGATTTAAGGTTGGATTCAAGCTTGTCATGATGTTTGATCCTTTTTTCCAATTGTTCACACTTTTTCTTCACGGCGATCTCGAGAGCTGTGCAGCCGGTGAAGTCATTGTGACCACTCACTTTTTGCCCCGAGAGGTGTTCCCAGTCAAAATGCCTCCAAATGGTGAATATGGCCTCCTGGTTATTGTGGTAGGCTGCATGTTGAAGGACGTTGAAGCCTTGTTTATTTCTGTATTGTAGAACCTTTTCGTAACTGACACTACGCGCTGCTATGTCTATCTGATAGTACGGGAAATTTGGGTCAGCTATTTTGTCGAACAGCATTTCTACTTCCCGAGATGATGAATCTGAAAATGGCAAACAACTATTCAATAACAGTATATCTTTAATACACTCTTAATTGATTAAAATATTCATTGAGGCGTTGTAGGCTACGTAGGTGAAGA